GCAGAGCAAAAACTGGTGGCCTCAGGTCTTAGAATATAGTAAACACAGTAAAGTGTTTTAATGCACACACACTATAATCTGCTGTTTTACTCTCCATTTAAAAGCCATAAACTTTATTGCACAGGCCTATCTACAGGGTTAAAGCGGTAAACTGATGATCAACAGTAAAAATGACAAATTTTAGCTTTTCCCAACATGGAAAGTCACCATCAATCAATAATGCATGATTATAGTGTCATGGGTTTGCAATCCAAAAATGCCGCTATAATAGAAGTCAATAGAAAAGAAACAGCTACAAACATAATGAAAAGGTAGTACATTTGAAAAGTACACGGCTTTACAATGCATTAGTAAAAGCTGAACTATGATAAATGCTGTATAAGTAATGTTCATTTTTAGTTCATGTTAGTAAATATATGAACTAACTAAACATTAAAGTGTGGCACAAATGAAATGTGTCAACCTCATGACATTTGTGTTCTGAAAACTAAAACATGAGTCCAGTACTCTCTGTACCAGAACAGCTTCTCCACAAAGGTCCAAGAAAGGAGACAAAGCTCTCAGAGATTTATGCTGCTGTCAAACCACTGCCCACCTCAGTACAGCCCAGTGGCCCACGCTTCAAAACACCCCATCACTCCTTTAGCGGAGGGCAAATATTGACCCGTACCGTTACAGATGAATCTCAGATTGGCAGAGCACTGATGAATGCTGATTACAGCATCTCAGAAACTCAAGAGTTTCAGCGGCGCCTGCTTCATCTCCGACTCAACTTTTTGACTCCTCAATCCATTACAAAAACCAAAGAGTCGAATCAGTATGGCTCAGCAAGGGGCCAGAGAAAGTATAGGCGGGGCCTCTGGACATGGGGTACGGTACAAAACCACTGTAAAGTTAGTTTGACATTCATTAGACATTCGGTTTCAAACCAATTAAATTCTTTGCTCCTGCTATAGTTTGAGCCAAGAACATTGTCAGATTGATATAAATATGTGCCCTTTATGTTGCACAAGGCTTAATGTCTCAATTAAAAAAAATTTATAAACTATTCGAATTAATTAAACAATTAAATCATATGTAATTATACAATAAAACTAAAACCAAAATGTTTATAAAAACATCCTGGTTAGTGCACAAGACTTTTTGGAATTAGCACTTTATTTATTTTATAATATAATAATTTTTAAATAACTTTTAATGTAAATATGGTAAAAGTCGATTAAAGTCTGACACAATTTGACAAAACATTCAAATCAACTTTAAAATCTTTCTAAATATTATTCTTTATGATGCACAAGCTTTGTTTTTACAATTATGCCTTTGTTGATTTTATATACAGTAGTGATTCCCTATTTTATTAGGTCGAATACACTGTAAACAGGTAAATGAATTAAACTCTGACACCATTTGTGACAAAATATTTAAATCAACTCTAAATTTGTCAAAATATTACTCTCTATGATGCAAAAGCTGTTTTTTATAGTTAAGCCTTTGATGATAAAGAGTAATGAATTCATATTTTTAAAGGTTGAATACACTGTAAACACTTAAATGAGTTAAGCTGAAATAATTTGAGATAAATAATTCAAAACTTAAAATTTGTCTAAATATATTTCTCTATGATGCACAAGCTTTGTTTTTAGTTATGCCTTTGTTGATTTTATATAGCATACTGAATCCATATTGTTAGCATATCGGATACACTGTAAACACTTAAATGAATTAAACGCTGACATCTTTTGAGATAAAAGGTTGTGGGTTCAATCATAAGTCCAGCTTTCCAACCATTAGACTATGACAAATTTGATCTTTTTGACAAATGGAAAAGAAAAAGTGCTTTATTTGCAAATGTTTTATGCAATATTCCAGTTATGCACAAAAGTTTAGCATATTTGGATGAAAATATAGCTGATATCAAGTGTTATGTAAGTTACATTGGGTAAAACAAGATTCAGTGCACTTAAAGAATTTTGCATTTGAAACAAACCTTAAATTGGCTGACTGAGATGCACCACAAGTTCCTGTTGATTCTTTGATGTCAGAAAGAAGCACAAAAAACAAGAACTAGTCTACATTCAGGTCACATAGACCAAAGACCCAATTAAATGTATTTAAAAAGTTAAAAAAAAAGTAAAAGTATTTTTCCCCTAGTGATCGTTTATGCCAGCATTAAACAAACAAACAAAAGATTTAATATAGTTTATAAAGTCGTATTTGAACAACAGATACAATAAAGCATCAAATGCATTAAAATCAATTTAAAACTCATTTATAAACGGTTTGTTTATAACAAAACATATAATATGATAACATATCTAAACCCTCATGGTTCCACAAAAGTAAACAAAAAAGAGAAAACTAAGTGCTTTAATTAAATAAATAAAAAAATCTATTTAAATTTTTAGCAGCACAAAAACAAGTTAAATTGCATGTTGAGCTCATTTAAAAGTCCATAGAAAATTATACATAATGATTTCTCGCAACTACAAAATAAGCAAAGTATAAAATAAATTCATATTTCTTTTTAAAATGTCTTATAAAGTGCATTAACACGTTTTCATGAGTAAATTTTTATAAACACTCAAGAATCATGTACTGTTTCACGCTTTAAGAGGGTGTTCATAAGAGGGAGTTCATCTTTATAATCATGATTTTATGCATGCGTATACAAACGGTCATTAAGCGTTATTTGATCAGTTATGTCATTTTAAATGCCATGGTGACATTATTTAAAATGTCATGACAACTTGACATTACCATGCATAACTTGTCATAAATCTGTCATCAACATGATTGTCAGAAGGCTACAATGATTGGGTCATTATTATTTTTCTGACCACTTTTATCATTTAAAATTTTCAATAAATGTGTTAATACTCTATCAAATAACTTCATTTCAGCGTTAATAATATTTTATGACATTTAAAGGTCCCATGAAATTAATTTTTTTTTTTTTATTGATGTTAGTATTAGTGTTGTTCATTTTTAAGATATGTTTATTAGCTAGTGTGCTCCTAAACAGTGACAAAATTTGCATTTAAAAGAAATTAAACTAATATAAAGCTTGTAATTTGTCACTTCCGCCTAAATGGATCAACGGTTTTATTCACGTCAACTCATACAGTTTCACATCACTATGATGTCTATCAGATGTTGGATTTTGGATGCCATATCTGACAAATAAATGCCAGTATTTGACGTCAATATGAAGTTGGTTTAAGATGTTGGCTCGACATTGGATTTTGGTTACTTTCTAACACACCCTAAAATCAACCAATTATCAATGTCATTTGACGTCGATATTGAACATCAAAATACCGTTGTTCTTAGACGCTGACTAGACATTTAGTTTTGGTCACCTGACAAAATGACCTAAATCTAACCTAATATTAACTTATGATGTTGTGTGCCTGCTGGGCAATATAACTAAACGCACTACAGAATGTTATGTTTACACACATCCACAAACTACATGTAAACGCATCAGCTTTTTAAAGCGTTTTACTCACTACTCGAGTATTTTTGAAAGGGCTACTTTTTACTCATACTTTGAGTAATATTGACAACAGATACTTTTACTCTACATTTGCACTACATTTTTAGGCAAGTAATGGTACTTTACTTACGTATGATTTTTCAGTACTCTTTCCACCACTGCTCAAAGGTGACATCCTAAATAAAAATGAATTTATTAAAATGAACTAATTAAAATGACAAAACTGAGTGAATGACACTTGAGTCTATGGCTGTTTCTCAATACCAAGTACACAAAGTTTGAACTTCCAGCCTTGGAAGTTCAGACTTTCCAATTTCAGACTTGGAAGAGCGAACTACAGAAGACGTGAGGACACAAGTCAGGTACTTCTTCAAATGGAACGGCAGTGTACTTTATAACTTCACTTACCTCACCATGGATTCATCTGTTCACTTTACATTAATTAATTACGTCATGGCAGTTGAGTCTATGTCAGTTGAGATTATAAAGGTTTCATGACAGTCTTATGAACACCCAAGTAAAGAAGTGTTGCTCAACAATGTTCCTGGAGGACCACCAGCTTTGCACATTTTCCATAGCTGCGTCCCAAATGGCACACTAAACCTTATGCACTCATGCATTATGTACTTATGTACTTACACACTCAACAGGATAGTATATGTATGTAGTGTCGTCCCAAATGGCACACTAATGTTTTTTTACTAAGCGGAAATTCAAACCGTTTCCCTGATGACGTTTGACGGTTGCCAAATCAGTGAAATAAACGACCGAATTATCAAATAATACCTAACGTGAGTATTGCCGCATTCACCATCGGGAGGCGCAATAATCACTCTCATAGGAGAATTTTGCTTTCACCATCTAAAATAAATAAAGTTATCCAACATGTGCATCCGATAGCTCCACCCCTTCCGCTACGTAAGCAAACCTGCGGTCGTTGAGTGCATGAATGAGTGCATCATCCAGATAATTAAAGTGCATTTATTATTTTTAGAGTTTTCAGTGTGAACACACTACTACTATTTATACTACAAAATGGCGTAGAATAGTGCATAAGTATGCGATTTGGGACGCAGCTCATGTCTCCTCAAGCAAACACACCTGATTCAGATCATCAGCTCATTAGCAGAGACTGAAAGACCTGTAATGGGAGTGTCGGACAAAGGAGACATCCAAAACATGCAGTGTTGGTGGTCCTCCAGGAACATGAAGAAGAGTGTTACCAATTAATCTTTAAATATAAAATGTTCCCTGATTAGAGTTGATCAAGTTGCTTCAAAAATGATTTCCAAAAATGTTTCAAATCAAGTTTTTCAGAATTGAATCATCAGCTCAATCCTTCTGTCTTTTGTCAATACACTGCGAGTAGCTCTCTCTATCCAAATAGTGTACAGCACAAACTTGAACTGTCTTGCAGTCGCCCTCACATCTTGCACTTATGTTGTAGCTAACCATAAAATTGCTAAAATACTTGTCAAAAGCCTTGCTTTGTGGCTTTTCAAACCTAAGTGCGAGTTCCTGCAAGCTGCCTGGCTGAATGTCATCGATACCAAACGCCTCAGTCATTATGTATTCCAGCTTCCACCCGGACCTTTGCTCCAGGTTTGCTTCAGTGAGATTTAGATAGAACTGCCAAATATCCTTTGGAGGAAGAAGAAAAAAAGAAAGAGAGAGAGTGGTGATAAGAAGAGATGCGATGGAAGAGCCAACACACTTTGAGCTAACACCTTGATTAAAACACAGCATGTAATTAGACCTGACAGCATCATTAATCATTCAGAAACAGGAGTCGCTCTAGCAAGAGAAACTAAGACCTTACACACAAAAGACACTTTCTCATTTATTTGAATTAAGCCAAACATTTAGAGCCATGCTGTTCATAATGTCAGAATTAAAACATGCCATTTTTAGACATTGTGGTAATCAGGATTTTGGTGGGATTTTGAAAAGTCTACAATTAATAAAATGTGTAAGTTGTTGTATTACAGATTGTTTTTTTTATATGTGATGAAGCAAAACTATTCAATTCATTTTAATTCATTAATTTTCCTTCAGCTTAGTTCCGGATTTATCCGGGGTCGCCACAGCGGAATGAACCACCAACTATTCCGGTAAGTTTTACGCAGCGGATGTCCTTTCAGCTCAACCTAGTACTGGGAAACACCCTACATACTCACATTTACTCACGCACACATACACTACAGCCATTTTAGCTCATCCAGTTCAGCTAAACTGCATATCTTTGGACTGTGGTGAAAACCAGAGTACCTGGAGAAAACCCACGCCAACATGGGGAGAACATGCAAAGTCCACACAGAAATGCCAACTGGCCCAGCCGGGACTCGAACCAGCGACCTTCTTTCTGTGAGGTGACCGTGCCACCGTGCCATCCATTAATTCAACTCAATTCAAGTTTATTTGTAAAGCAGCTTTACAGAAGGTTCACATTATTACATTACTTGTATAATAATCACAACTAATAGCTTTTAACAGTTTAAGGTGTTTTATAAAAACACAGTTAACCTGCAGTTATATAATATATAGGTGATGTCTATGTGTACATGTTCAATGAAGTGCATTGCTAAAATAAACTACAATACTAGTAAACATAATTAAATTATGATCTACTGAATTTCTATTGAGGAAATGCTCATGACAAATTATGATACATTAAAATTGCTACATTAGAAAAATTAAAATTGTGAACCAATTAAACTGAAAACTGTTTCACTTTATTGTTTGTAGCGGTGCAAAAAAAAAAAACCAAAAAAAATACAGGTTTAATTAATTAAATATTCTCTAAAAAATTATTGCAAGGTTTTTATAGCCCATGCAAATGCAGTACAGAATGAATGCATTAGACATTAAAAAACATCTGGATTTCAAAGTGCGTCAAAATGACTAGTTTTTACAAGTAAATCCCACTAAAATAGTCATAATTTAGTAATAAAATAAGTCAAAATTATTAGCCCTCCAGTGATTTTCTTTTTCAAATATTTTCTTCAAGGAATTTTTCACAGTTTTTCCTATAATATTTTTCATCTGAAGAAAGTCTTATAATTTGTTTTATTTCGGCTGGAATAAAAGCAGTTTTTAATTTGTTTTAAACCATTTTAGGGTCAATATTATTACCCCCCTTAAGCAATATTTTTTTTTTTTAACAAACAACTGTTATACAGTGACTTGCCTAATTAACTTATCTGACCAAGCCTTTAAATAGCACTTTAGGCTGAATAGTCTCTTGAAAAATATCAAGTCAAAAGTTATTTACTGTCATCATGGTAAAAATAAAAGAAATTATTAAAACTAACGTATTCATAAATGTGTTGAAAAGATCTTCTCTCCGTTAAACACAAATTGGGGAAAACATATATAGTGGGGCTAATAATTCTGACTCAACTGTACCTTTTCAAATATGTAAGCCTTCAAAAGACTTTAATTCACTCAATTTACTGTGTTCTAGGGCACTGATATGTGTCTTTCACTAGTCCAAATATTATCTGCTGTATTACGACAGCAAATGAGACCAATATTGTGATATATAGTAGGTCTTCAATTTCACTCATAGTGATCTTTAAAAAAAAGTCTGATGAAACCTGTCGAAACACTGTTAATAATTCTTAGCATGTTCTACAGAAAGTACATAAATCAGTAATAGTTTGCAGACACCTACCAGCAAAGTATAACTGTCAGGTTGGTAGAGATATGCACGCACACCAGGGTTGTTTGAAAATGGCTCTATTTGACTTTTGATGGGTGTAACAGCAGGAGTGACAAATATGGAGTTCACAGGTTTACCTTAAAGAAAATTAGAAATGGTGAAAAATTCTGTAAACAAGGTGTAAAGTTCTGTCATCACTTACTCCCCATGCACTTGTTTAAAGTGTTTGAGTTCTGTATTCTATCACAAAATTATATTTTGAAGAAGAATTTTGGAAACCAGGAGACACCGACTTATATGGCATTCCACAGACTTCCATTAATGACAGTGATTACCAGTTTCTAACATTCTTCTAAATATATTCTTTTGTTTTCATCAGAAGAAAGAATCTTAAAGGTTTAGAAGCACTTGAGGATGAATAAATAGTACACGCAGACTAAATGAATGTGAAAGTGTCACAATGGTGAAGTATTGTGTACAATTTTAAAGCTAGTTCTTTGTAGTTCTCATCAAAAAGCAATTCTAATAAAATTACCAAATATCATTTTAATAAGCATTTTAGCTGTTATTATTTAAAGGTTAAAAACAAAATGTAAAAAAATCATTGCTCTCTTTTTGGAATAATTGCTCTTTGTAATCTGGTGTTTAAATGTGACATTCAGAGCTAGTTAATGCCGAGTATAACTTGTTTTTCATTCATTTATTTTATTTTCGGCTTAGTCCCTTTATTAATCAAGGGTCGCCACAGCTGAATGAACCACCAACTTATCCAGCATATGTTTTACGCCCTTCCAGCTGTAACCCATCACTGAGAAACACACATACACTCTCATTCACACACATTCACTACGGACAATTTAGCTTACCCAATTCCCCTATAGCGCATATCTATGGACTTGTGAGGGAAACTGAAGCACCCGGAGGAAACCCAGGTCAACACGGGGAGAACATGCAAACTCCACAAAGAAATGCCAACTGACCCAGCCAAGGATTGAACCAGCGACCTTCTTTCTGTGAGGTGACAGCGCTACCCACTGTGCCACCGTACTTTTTTTTTTACTTTTGAATACAAAAAAAATGTATGAATTTTGTTAGAATTTTATTATTATTTTATGCACTAATATTTTAAAGAAATACAAACCCTTCATTAATATTTTTATACGTTTATACAATTGTATTTTTATACAAACCCTTCATTAATATTTTTTTAATACTTCATTAATACTTCATTCATATTTTTATTTTATATATATATATATATATACACACATACACACACACACATATATATATATACAGTGGATATTTTGCAGCAACTGTATAAAATGCAGGGTTCCACACAATTTATTCATGTTGTCTCAACTTAAACACCCAAAAGTTTTAACAAATGTATGTGGATTGAACTTAAAAACATTAAGTTGTCCCAATGAAATCTCAAGAATTGTGTTGTTTCAGTTAATTTTAATTGAGAGGTTTGAACAAGTTAAAAAAAATATTTTTTGGAGTGCAGTAAGTAAATATTCAATTCAACCAACCAAAAACAACTGCAAAAAATTTTTCTGTGTTAGTTATTTGTTTTTTCAATGCCCTTAACAGTGACTCACACACCCTAAACCAAAAATTCTATTGAATTTTCATTAATGCACTGAAGTGAATTACATTACCTTGCTGATCCAAAAGAACCATTATACTGTCCCGATGAGTGTGCCCATAAAACTGACCCTCCACCACCTCACTGTAGTTGCGAAATATTTTGACCAGTTGTTCATTGTAGTTTTCTCGCATGGCTGTCGTATTTTTAGCAAAGGGTAGGTAACCGATGGGGACGTGCGCGATCACATAGACCTTCAAGAAAAGCATGACAGGGAAATTAATCCCAGCAGTCACTCACACAATGCTGATGTCACTTACATGCACACATCATCACTATGTGACTATTCATTTACAAGCTTATAATAAAATGGCCCCGTATGATCAGTGCAGAGGACTCTTACTGAAATGAAAGTGCATTGTTAAAGCAGGCAGGATATATATTTACCTTCTCCATGCTTTGTCTTGACAGCTCAAGTGTTTCCTGCAGCCACTGGAACTGCCCTGCAGGGTCGCTCATATTTACAGTCACTTCATTAGGACTGTAGTACAGGTTTGTGTTGAGACTCAGCAGACGCAGACCAGGTTTGATAACAAGAGAGTAAAAGCCTCCTTCAAACACAGAAGTGACAAACAAAGGGCATTAGCTTAATGTATTTTTAATAAAAGGTTTCTGTTTGGTGCAATCAATTAATTAAATCAATCAAAGTGATGAAAACAGAACCTAGATGAACAGAGATTTGGCATCATCATGGAGTTTGCATCATAATATTAAATGTGAAATAATAAATGCATAAATAACTCAATAATAATAATGTAAGTTTACAATAAAGAGGTGTGAAAAAGTGTTTGCCCCCTAGAGATATCTTACTTTTTTGCATGTTTGTCAAACTTAACTGTTTCAGATTATCAAACTCTATATTAATCAAAGACAAAACAAGTAAACAGTTTTCAAATTGAGGTTTTTATTATTAACGGAAAACAAAATCCAAAACTATATAGCCCTGTGTGAAAAAAGCATTTACCTCCTCTGTTACTTAAAACATAACTTTGGTTCAACTGAGTTCAATTAATCTAGCCACATCCAGGCCTGATTACTGCCACACCAGTTCGCAATCAAGAAATCACTTAAATAGGACCTGTTTGACAAAGTGAGGAAGACCAAAAGATCCTCAAAAGCTAGACATCATGCTGAGATCCAAAGAAATTCAAAAACAAATGAGAAAAAAATAAAATATAAATGTTATATAACCATTGCTAATATATGCTTTTGGACTGCAGGCAATTACAATGAGAGCCCTTTTCCAAAACATGAAACAATGGAGAATCTTCCCAGAGTTGCTGACCAACCAAAAATTACTCCAAGAGCGCATCTACTACGCACCCAAGAAGTCATCCAAAAGACCCCAAATTCAAAAAAGCATCAAACAACATCCAAAGAACTGTAGGCCTCACTTGCATCAATTAAAGTGAGTGTTCATGACTCCACCATAAAAAGAGACTAAGAAAAATTGGTAAAGTTTAAAGATGAAAACCACAGCCAAGCAAAAAAAACATAAAGGCTTGTCTCAGTTTTGCCAGAAAACATCTTGATGATCCCCAAGACTTTTGGGAAAATACTCTGTGGACTAATGAGACAAAAGTTTAACTTTTTAGAAGGTGTGTATGCGTGCATGTCCCATTATGGCATAAAAGTGACACCGCATTTCAGAAAAAGAACATCGTAACCTATATTATTTCAAATTAAGTTTGAAGATCTGAAACATTAAAGTGTGACAAACATATAAAAAGAAATCAATAAAGGGGCAAACACTTATTCACGCCACTGTAATACTAGCTGTATAAAATTTGCTAACCTAATAATACTTCATTTCCCAGAGATGGGTTGCAGCTGGAAAGGCATTCGCTGCATAAAACATGTGCTGGTACGTTGGCGGTTTAGGTGGCGACCCCAGATTAATAAAGAGACTAAGCCGAAAAGAAAATGAATGAATGAATAATACTTCAAATTGATATTAAATACAATGCCAAAACGTCAGTATATGCCAACAAACAAACAATGAATGACTTAATGAATGTATTTGATTAATTAATTAATTAATTTTACACACATATACACTCACCAGCCACTTTATTATGGAACACCTAACTAGTACCAGGTTTCACCTTCAGAACTCCCTTAATCCTCTGTGGCAAGGCATTTGTGCCCACAGAACTGCCACTCACTGGATATTTTCTCTTTTTCCAACCACTTTCTGTAAACCCTTGAGAGGGCTGTGCGTGAAAATTCCAGTAGATAAGCAGTTTCTGAAATACTCAGAAAAGCCCGTCTGACACCAACAACCATGCCATGTTCATAGCTACTTAAATCACCTTTTTTCTTCATTCTGAAGCTTTGACCTGCAGGTTTGACCTGCAGCAGATCGTCTTGACCATGTCTACGTGCCTAAATGCATTGAGATGCTTCTTTGTGATTGGCTGATTAGATATTTGGACAGGTGTACCTAATAAAGTGGCCGGTGTGTGTGTGTGTGTGTGTGTGTGTGTGTAAATATAGACACATATGAACACATGAAAAGTTAACTAAACCTGAAACATAACCCTACCCCAAAAGTTACTTCAAAATTAGCAACCGAATGCGAACCGAAGAGGTTATCCACTTACATTTCCTTGCACAGTAACCATGGTTAAAACTCTGTATTGACCAATCAGCATCTGTTGCTTCAAATCAATCAAGTTATTTATGTTTACATATGTACTGTAGGCAGTATGTCTTCCTTATCAAGGATTACCTTTTTGCAAAGTAGCCACAGCTGCTGGGTTCAACCATGGGGACCAGAGTTTGGCAACAGCATCATAAATCGCATTCTCAGATGTTGGAAACTGATCCTAAAAAAATTTAAAGCACGATAAAGATGAGATCACAACATAAATATTAGGAATTTTCAGAACAGCAATATACAATGACCAAATAGCAAATTGAGACGTAAACAGGAAGACATGCTGTTTCTTCTTCTGCATGTCATAATGCAAAACACTCACTATTGACCTTAAACCTTAAGCAAATTTTTATAACTCTTATTTTCTTATTTCATGTGCTATGGTTTTAGATACTATACTTTCAAAATCATTCTCTATAAATCCACTGATTTTTTATTTTTAATTTTACAAAATTCTGAGCAGAAATACAGTAGCAAAAAAAAAAATAGATTCTGTCTGGCTCTGGAAATAACAAATAAATCAATGCTATCGATGTTGACTATGTCATGTGACAATGTTTGAAAAGTTATTCATTGCCTAACTGTTTTTGTGCATTAACTTGTTTTTAATATAAAAACAAAATACAAGTAAGCTTTTAATGTTCAAATATTGATTAGAGCTGTCAAGTGTTAATGGCATCCAAGATAAAAGTTTGCATTTTCATATATGCATAAATACACACAAACGTACTGTACATAAAATGCAAAAATATACAAAAGAAATAGATTTACATATAAATGTATATATAATTTGTATATTTATATAATTGTTTGGAAAAACAACTGAACAAATCATCATAGAATAGGTATAGTAAGTTGATCTCTCTATTTTGTCTTTTGTTGTGCTGTATTTATACCACAGTAATCTGGTAGTGTTTGCTTTGCTTTGGCTTTTTTTTGGGTAAATAATGTAATAATCCCAATTGCAACAGAAAAATACTGGGAAAACTCTGAAGACTGATGGCATTTCATGCCGTTCAGCTTTATAATCTTAAAATGTGAGCAAAATGTGAGCACTTCAGACATTACTCTAGAGAAACATTCAAACACTAGCTCTAAAGTGACATTGGTGAAGAAGCAACAGTTTCTGCTGTTCTAAAGGTCAGCTGCAGATGTGAATAAACAGCGGAAGAAAGTAGTTCCTCGTACAAAAATATTTTTGAGGCTCTCCGTGTTTGATTTTTTTTTTTAATACATTTTTATGCATATATACTGTTGTATAAACGCAACATTACACTCATAGCAGAGCGATATGACTGTATATCAGCACTGCTGGGGCACTAAGACATTCGGCCTGCTGCCTCGAGCCAACACCTGCTTTGCCGATATACAGCCATATCGCACTGCTACTCGTGCTACTGCTACTATACTGCTATCTATCTATCTATCTATCTATCTATCTATCTATCTATCTATCTATCTATCTATCTATCTATCTATCTATCTATCTATCTATCTATCTATCTATCTATCTATCTATCTATCTATCCATCCATCCATCCATCCATCCATCCATCCATCCATCCATCCATCCATCCATCCATCCATCCATCCATCCATCTATCTATCCATCCATCCATCCATCCATCCATCCATATATATATATATATATATATATATATATAAACAAACAAACATTTTATACAATATAGTAATTTATAAACAATAATATAAACTGTACGTTTGTAATTACAAACTTTTATTTTGGGTGCGATTATTGTCCATTATTTGTCATTTCACAACACTAATATTACAATAAGCTACTAATATAACTAACTAACTAACTTATACTAAACATTTTCATATACAAGTGGTGTACAAACACTCCATTTAAACGACCAAAAACACCCTCCCCTTATCTCACCCCAGAACTATTGAATTCCTAGTAAAGTACTCCAGTTGTCCTTGGATCTGAAATACCTGTGGCCAGTAGTCGTGGTTGCCCAGGGCAGGATAAACAGGAATCTGTGGGAAGAACTGCTGTATGGTGCGGGTCATATTAGCAATCACATTGATCACTACATCAGTGGACAGCTCTTCTTTAGGGACGTGGGGAGGGCTGTCCCTGCAACAGTTCAAGAAAAGTATAGTATTGTTATGCCATGAAACAAATTGAAAATAATAATACATTTTATTTATAATGCTCATTTGTAAAACCTAAAGCACGAGAGAATGAGAGAAAATCAAACATGCACTAAAATACAAGGACTCAACATAGACAAAAATTAAAAATAAACACATTAGAATGATCAACAATCTAAACACGCATTTTTATTAATACCAATAGCAATCATTTTAAAGATCACACAGAACTGATGCAAGTCAAACTCAAGATTGCTTCATACCCGGTCCATATAATGAACTCAGGCTGCAGGTCCACTTGCTTCATGTAACTGAACGCTGAGAGAATAAGCTGGTATGGAGAATCACAGAGGAAATCTCCAAACACTCCCGGGTCCAATGCAGGAACACCCTTGGAGGAAAAACACACTTTGGTATGGTCTTCTGTCACATGGTAGGTCGGATCCAAGTGCAGGTCTGAGATATGCCAGAATTTAGCTGGAATTTACAATAATTATGTTAGAAGCTACATCAAAAATATGTCAAATCTCTTCCTTTAAATATTGCCTGAACACTAAAATCAGTTTTAATGACTGGCATGTAGTCTTGATTTCCTCAGGCAAAAAAAAAAAAAACTTTTGTCTTTGTGTTTTGACCCAAATAATCTTTTAACTGTTTATTTATGTATAGTTGAAGAGCTGATTAATGCAGAAACATGTTTTTCAACACATTTTAAACATGATCGCTTTAATAAATAATTTCTAATAACTGATTTATTTTTATTCGCTATAATGACCACAGAGCATTATTTTATATATATATATATATATATATATATATATATATATATATATATATATATATATATATATATATATATTTTTTTTTTTTTTTTTTTTTTTTGTTATTTTGCAAGATACTAATATTTAGCTTAAATTGCAATTTAAAGGCTTAACTAGGTTAATGGAATAACTAGATTGGCAAGTTAGGTTATTATTAAAGTTATTGGAAAACAGTGGTTTGTTTTATTATAATACAATATTATAATATATTATTTAAAAAATTATAATTTCTTACAGTGGATAATACTATATTTTTTCAATTAATAAGATAAATGTAATAACATTTTCTCCAAAAAAATAAATAAATAAAAAATTATAGGAAATAAAGTGAAAAAAAATTCTCGTTTATTAAATAGTACTTTCACATGAGGGCTAATAATTTGCCTTTAACTTTATTTGTTGTATTTTATTACTTTTCAAACATTCTTTAAATAAAAGGAGTTTTTGAAAATCACAAGATGTTTGTAGAGTAAAATAACATCCTATATGTCAAAACATCAAGATAAATTTCTCTATTGAGGACCCTTTAAAGACCAGGCTAATTCAATACCTCAGTTAAATATTAAATTACATTTAATCTTTCTGTAAACTACAGATAATCTTATTTGGCTTCACTAGAACCATTTCAGTATAATTGCACACTTGGCTTTATATGCACCGCTTAATGTAATTTAAGTTTATCTTTCAGACCGATTTCTCTGACTGTCAATACAGTTTATTAAATTTGAGTAAATTACTTCCAATGACAGTTCTTTTTTACATTATACTAAACACTTTATTGATCTTTACATTATTTATATGAAATACTCTAAAGTTATACAGTAATGTACACTGAAACTAATTTTTGTAAGTATTTTAAAGTTTGAGGCTTTGGAACTCTTATACTAGTTCATAAAACATAAAGAAGTATTTGATATTTAACAACAACAACAAAACCAGTTACCAGTTTGTGACCAGTTACCTCTTAATAGATCTTAATAAAATATGCTAGTTAACTTGAACTTGAACTTTTTTTTTTGTTAAATATCAAATACTTCTTTACGTTTTTATGAACTAATAGTATAAGAGTTCAAAAGCCTCAAAATTTTAAATATGTAAGAATCTGCGGCCATTTATGACAGTAATAAGAAGGTATTTAATAAAGAACAAACTTCTGCATAAAACCAGCTTCAGGGGGAGATGATACACCCGAAACAGCTGAAACAAACTAAACCTGGAGTCCTGGACAACAATAGGCTCATTAAGACGAATTACAGTAGATATGCAAGAATACGGCTATTTATGAAAGAAACAAGAAAGTACATTATGTCACAGAACAAACATCACCATAAAACCAGCTTCAGAAGGAGATGATGCACCTGAAACAAACTAAACCTGGACAACAATTGGCTCAACAATTGACAACAATTAGACGAATTACTGCTAATATTTAATCATCTACGGTTATTTACGACAGAAACTGGAAGGTATACTATATCAAGAACAATATAGTATATAAAGAACAAACTTCAGCATAAAACCAGGTTCAGGAGGAGACATAACGTAAACCCCTGAAACAGCTGATGAGGTTCTGAAACACTTACATGCGGTCTGCAGGTGTTTGAATACATTACTAACTGGCGCAGAAGAAACCTGCAAGTTAAAAACATGACAAAACAAAAATAACAGAACGAATAAAGCCATTCCTGAACGTTTAAGTTGGGTACTGTTATAAACTCTTGTTGTGTAAACCAAAACAGGAAAAACAGCGGATCTCACGTGACTGCTGGTTTGCGCAACCTTCTGCGGTCACGCGCACTGATTGGAAATTACAAATCTAAAGCCTGTCATAATCATAGACGTTTAATAGAAATCTTTCTAATTTTATTAATAAGTAATAAAAAGATTTTTAACAATAGAAACAATTAATAATTGAGTTTTTTTAAATAGAACATTTTTTATGATACATCTACTGTATGATATCATTCACACACCTTAAACCTTAGTTTGGTTTTTCTATGTAGTTTAGTTTAGTGAAATGTCGATTTTCAATGTTACAGATATATTTAACATATTTTTAGAAGTGCATTAAGTGCAACACAACATTTTATCATATTATTGATTTATTGTGAATTATTCCTGGAGATGTTGCAGCCCTAAAATAATTTTTCCATTGCTAAAATGGGTAAGTACATGTTTTAATGTTGAGCAAGCATCAATTGGTATTTTGAGAAGTAGAAGCAGGAGAGGCATCAAATGCCATAGTACAAAATCTTCATCATGGGAGGAATGGCACCAAAGCAAGACCATCTTTTGAAGCAACTGCAGCTGCTGGACAGTCTCTATACAGCACACAACTCTATATTCTGCTCCATCAACACATGATTTTTTGCACGCACATTTATAACTGTACTTTGTTCCGTTTCTTCATTATTTTTGATTCTTGTTTTATTTCAATAAAAGTGTCTGGAATTTAAAATGGAATAAAACTAAAGCACTTAAGTATTTTTTAAACTGTATGTTATTTATTTACACAGTCATAATTATAAAATTAATAGTAGCAATAACACCAGAATGGATAAAATAACATTTAATCAAAATAACCCAATGCATTGGGTTACAGTTTTGTTTTGTTTTTTTGTTTGTTTTTTTGTCTTGTACTCAGATACCTCACTCAATGCAGTGATGTTTAACTTTACTGTAGTTTTCAAATGGCTGTGCAAACAGTATATAGTGCTGTCTTGAGCATTTTCAGGAAGTGTCACCAAAATCTGACTTTATTGCAATGGAAAAAGTGAACAGAGTAAGCTGTCATTATGAAAACATGACTAAGCCATTTGACTATCTTGTTCATAAACACTGGACTTTTCATTTTGATGATACTGACACTTTGATTGACATGAATACTTGCTTTTGAGGAATGAGCTCTCCATTTTGAGCAAGTGACACGCTTTTACAAGTTATCAACTAGGTTTTGCAGTTTTTACTAATTGTTTTGAGAAATGAATTAACTGCAAATGTAATTAGCAGTTAGCAATGTAATTGTTAACAAACAAACATTACAGGAAATGCACCATAGTGACTGAGAAAAACTGTAAAATAATCCATAGTTGGGAAGGTGCTATAATAACCTATAATTAGGTTATATGTTGGGGTATATTTAACCCAACTATTTTTATAGAGTAGGTTAATTGGAAAACCGAATCGTATTTAAAGGTATACAGTTGAAGACAAAATTATTAGCCCTCCTTTAAATTCTTTTCCTTTTTAAATATTAAAAATAAAAAAAATAAGGGGGGGCTAATAATTCTGATTTCAACTGTATGTGTCTAGATAGATAGATAGATAGATAGATAGATAGATAGATAGATAGATAGATAGATAGATAGATAGATAGATAGATAGATAGATAGATAGATAGATAGATAGATAGATAGATAGATAGATAGATAGATAGATAGATAGATAGATAGATAGATCTTAAGTGTAAAAAGGGATTATCCAGCATCAAAACGATTAAAGTTTAAACAGGGCTCAATTTCGATCCATGAATGAACACTCAAGTCATAATTTCTTTTGGTTCTTTATTATACAAACTAGCAGACTATATGTAGCTATTGTACAAATAAAAATAATAATAATTAAAAAACAAAAATATTTAAAGTCCATTCTTTCAATGAGTTGGATGAATAAAGTTCAAGGTTTTGCTTTCAGAGCACATCATGACTGTCTGTTTCTGGCCAGAAAGAAGAACAGCGACACCTGATAGTATTCCCAAAGCCTATGCTTTTTCATAGGTGCGAAGAGCCTCCACGTCCCCAAAGGTGAGTTTCTAAATCGAAGTTGAAATCAGAAAGATATTAAATGCAGTACAGCTCTACAAGGACGCTTGAAGAATCTTTTGAAAATACAATTAAGACTCTCACCATCACCATCTTCCCGTCCTTGATCTCTCGGATAAAAGTGGTCTCTTTCCCATCCCACTTTTGCACATGGACGAGCTGGTTTCCTTTGAGCAGCACAGTGGACTGATAAAAAATAATAATAACAACCAATTTTGTATTCATCTTCGTCTCGAAAGGGAATGCAGTGTAAAATAGGTATGTTATGAAGTTGTTCTTTTCCAAGCCTACTTTGCAGTGTCGGTCATCAGCAGTGGTTTCCTCAAACTCTTCACCCAGTGTGAATGAGATCTCGGTGTTCTTGAAGGTACTCTGTGTTTTTATGACCACCTTTTCTCCCTCCTTCGAGATGACGAGCGTCGGTTTGGTCACATTTCCAACTTGTCTTGTTGCAAACCCAATACCTTACAAACAATATAACATCCATTTATATATGTCGGTTTTTATAATACACTTAAGCATGAATACGAATAAAAATTTTAGAAATAATTAACTGTTAATACAATTTGTATATGATGTCTAGGCTAAATATCCTTAAACGTTTTAAAATAAGTTCATTTAAAAATTGATTATAAATGAATTATTGGTCACACTTTACAATAAGGTTTCATTAGTTTAAGTTATTTAACGTATTTATTTAATTAATATATTTATGTAATGTACTAAAATAACTAATTATGAACAATATTTATTAAGCATTTATTAATGATAATGCAACATTATTACATTATGGATCTGTTAAAATGTATCGTGAGTTAACATAAACAAACAATGATCAAGTGTAATAAGCTTAACATGAACTGATACTGTAATAAATGTGTTGCTCATTGTTTGTTAGTAAATAGACTAATAATAACTATAACCTTATTGTAAAGTGTTACCGACTAACTACATATTATTTACACCCTATTGTGAACATCATTAACGTTAATAATATTTAACAAATACTGTAAAACACTGTAAGTGTTTTCTGAATAATTTGAATTCTGCATGATATTATGGTAAAACTTACCTAGGGATTTCATATACTCATCAAAGTTGTCACTGCTGACCAGCTTCCACGTGCCACAAAAAGCATCCACCATTTTCTGAATCAAAACTGTGATAAACAAACTTAATGTACAATGCCTTGTAAAAATGTAGCTGCATTTTCGCTTTGCGAATAGTCTTAAATAGTTTGTCTAAGGAGTGGGAGGGACCAGCGTTCCAATTGGCTGTCAGTCCAAGAAACATTTGAAGAAATTTTTTATTGTGTGTGTGTTGCAGGGGGAGGGGGGATGGGGACACTGATATTTATGCTCTAATTTATGCAATATAAATAAATCCAAATGCTTTGATTATCTCCACACTGTAAAACATTATTGCTGAACTAAAATGATTAAGTCATCTGAACTTACAATCAAACTAAGTAAAAATATTACATAGTATATAAGGATATACGCTCTAAAAAATTGCTTTATTTTTTAAGCTGAATCAAATTAGTCAAGACAAGAAACACTACGGACAATTTAGCTTACCCAATTCATCTATAGCGCATGCCTTTGCACTGTGGGGGAACCTGGAGAAAACCCACACGAACACAGGGAGAACATGCAAACTCCTTACAGAAGTGTGAGACTTTGTCACAGACTTTGTCATTTTTTTTTTACAATGCAATAAAAGTACATACAGTTGAAGTTGAAGAATTATGATTGAATTATTAGCCCCCTGTTTATTTTTTACGTCAATTTTTGTTGAACGGAAAACTTTTCTAAATATAACAGTTTTAATAACTCATTTCTAAAAACTGATTTATTTTGTCTTTGCCATGATGACAGTACATAATATTTAACTAGATATTTTTCGTTATTGTATAACGATGGTTTGTTTTGGAGACTATCGAAGAAAAAAAAAATAGCTTAAAAGGGCTAATAATTTTGACCTTAAGATGTTTTTAAAAAAACTAAAAATGCTTTCATTTTAGCCGAAGTAAATAAAAAAAAAATAAGACTTTCTCCAGAAGAAAAAAATATTATCAGACATACTATGAAAATTGCCTTGCTCTTTTAAACATCATTTGAGAAATATTGAAAAAAGTAAACAAAATGGGGGGCTAATAATTCCGACTTCAACTGTCAATTATTAATAAATACAGCTAACTTATTTAGCTTTTTTGTAATAATATTATTATGGTTTTTTATACTATTAAAAATCAACTGGAACAGTTTTGTGGCTTTAAATGTTAAAAAAGGTACCCCTGGTGTCCTCTGCTGGTTACATAAATCATCACCACCTCCAAAAAAAAAAAAAAAATTAAGGCTACAAATACTAAGCACAGATTTATTGTAATTATTAAACACAGCATGACTGTTTTTTATATGTTGCTTATAACAGACTTAATGACACAAGATTCATGGCCTTGTAAAAAAAATATACAATTAAATTAAATGCATTTCTCTGATAAAAGCAAGATGAAAAAAAAGAGGAATGAAAGAGGAACACGTCTCCACAATCATATTTTTCCACTGCCACCAACAACAGCAAAGAAATATCTGAGACTAGCACTTAAAAACCATGTCCGAATGACCACAAGATGTTTTGCGGCGATACATCCGACAACTAACAATCCAATTTCAGCTCACACAGGGCAACACTGACAGCGTTTACGCACACAACAAAAGGCTTTTTAAACATACTAGCAAATATAATGTACAATTCTGTATATTTACAAGAAGAAAATATCATATTTCATGTAGTTCAGCACTGTTATTCTTTTCCTCTAGAACGTTAACAATGCATATCTTTACAATACAAAACACAGAGGATGTAGTGTTGTTGTACAAGGACAGACGGATTTATCGTAAGATTAAAAAAACGCCACCAAATGGAATGTATTTACTGTTTTTGTTTGTTGTTTTTTTGTGCAAAAAGAGATCTTTTTTTTCGCCACTACATGTCAACATTCAGAGAAAATGCAAAAGGGGGCAGTCCTAAAAACAAATGAAATGAATGTTCTTTTAAAATGGGAAAGCAGGTCACATCTGTTTTCATAAAACACACAAAACAGCTGGGTTGTTTGGAAAATCATGAGTCTGGTGAGTCTTTGGAAAGAAGTTGTAGAGGTACAAAATGAAATGAACAATCGTTGCTATTTGGGGGAAAAAAACGCAACTTCGGGTGGATTCCTGTTATGGGAATGAGCTGTTTTTCCCGCTGGGCCATGTCTGAATGCCAATCCTCAGTGGTCTTGATGTTGCATAGCACAGACTGTAACAGTTGTTTGGTCAATGGGACAAGAATAGAGGCAGATCGTGAGGTCAGATCGCGTCGGGACATGCTGTCGACTTATGAACCCTCTGTCTTTGCCCCCTCTGTGGATTCTTTGGGTGGGTCGGTTGAGGATGAGCTCTCTCCACCCTGTTCACCATCATCTGCACACAAACAAACACTATTAAAGGCATAGTTCACCCAAAAGGGTAAATTCTATCAATGTTTACTCATCCTACTTGCTTCAGATTCAAAAGATATTTTGGAAAATGTAACCTGTAACCATTGACTTCTATAGTATTTGATTTTCGTACTATGGAAGTCAACTTACTCAAGTTAGTCATTCATTCATTCATTCATTCATTCATTTTCTTTTTGGCTTAGTCCCTTTATTAATCTGGGGTTGCCACAGAGGAATGAACCGCTAACTTATCCAGCATATAATTTACGCAGCGGATATCCTTCCAGCTGCAACCCATCACTGGGAAACACCCATACACACTCATACTATGGCTAATTTCGCCTACCCAATCCACCTACAGCACTACAGTTTTTGAAGCACCTGGAGGAAACCCACACCAACATGGAAAGAACATGCAAACTTCACACAGAAATGGCAACTGGCTCAGATGAGGCTTGAACCAGCGACCTTCTTGCTGTGAGGCGATGGTGCTACCCACTGCGCCACAGCACAGCCTCAAGTTAGTCAGCTTTCTTCAAAATTTCTTCTTTTGTGTTTAACAGAAGACAGAAACTCATAAAGGTTTGAATTTTAGAATATTGAATTTGATGTTCTGAATTTCCCCATTCTGAAATTTTAAAATTGTATTTTTACAAACTGGATATCAGCAGTGAATTTTGAACACAAAATAATCAGTTTGAAAATACGTCTATAAAAAATCAGCCTTGAAAAAATTTCTTTAATATTCAATTTCAGATATTAAAAATTCATGAAATTCAAATAAAGAAATTCAATTTTTAAATGAAGAAATTCAAATTAAAAACTATTTATCAGCATTTAAAAATTCAGATTTATTTAATTACAATTTGAATGAACACAATTAAAATTCAGATTGTTTTGGCATATCATTAGCTCCATAGAGCATCCGGAGGAAACCCATGCAAACATGGAGAGAACATGCAAACTCCTCATAGAAATGCTAACTGGCATATATATATATATATGTGTGTGTGTGTGTGTGTGTGTGTGTGTGTGTGTGTGTGTGTGTGTGTGTGTGTGTGTGTGTGTTATTCAGAGTATTTAAAATATGAGAACAACAATAACCCATTTTGCTTTGTCAGTTGGTCAAATGACATGGAAAAACCAATGTCCTATGCGACTGCTATCATCAAAGATGTTAGCTGCTAAACATGTTACATTTTTAATGCACATCATTTGGCTTTAGCATATGTGAGCAATACAGCACCAATTCTGCACAAATCATTTTAAAAGAAAAGCGTTACAATGTTTTGTTCTCTGCACCCAATATGGTGCGTCAAAGACAAATAGAAACATCCCTTTTCCAATATGAAAACTCTATAAATGCATAAAATATCAACTAAAGTAGATTCACTTTCTATTATTAACTGTATCTTTTGTCTAGCCAACATCAAACTATATTTAAATGTAGAAAATATTATTTAAAATAGTTTAAAAATTTCAATAATTTAAAAATAGAATAATTTAAAAAGTAATAACATCAAATTCTTAACATTCTTTCCATTTTACTGATGTTATTATTATTATTTGTATGTATGTAATAATTAATTCATATTTTTTTCCTCTTCCACAAAGTCCTTAGCAGTTCCAGATACCATTTTAAATATAAATCACTGGTACGTTAAATATATGATTCTTTTATTAGGAATTTGTGATCTTTTTGGTGCTTGATAGCTTTAATCACCTTCCAGTTTCATTATAATTTAGAGGATGACCTCACTACCTCACCCTATGAAATGAAAAAAATCTAAAGTTCATTTTCAATCATAATGATCACCACTAGAGGGCAGAAAAAGTCGTTCATTATTTAAACAGGACCCAAATTCAGCATGCTTCCCATAGCAAAAAAATGACACGAAAATGGGCAAATGTTTCTATTTATGGGTTAACTATCCCTTTAAGACCCCGACTCACAAACCAGAGTCTCTGTTTATTATTTAAAACAGGATAAATTATGTATGATGTGGAATAAGCAGTACATTCATCAGTGTACTGCTGAGAATCTCCAGCGTCATCACAAACCGCTCATAAAAGATCATTTGCAGGGATCATGTGTGATGCCTTTGAGCTTTATGGGGAACACACAGCAAATCAACAGTGTTTGACTGCAGGCAATTACTGAAGCGCAGGACGCCTCGGTCATGATCAAACACTCCCAAGAAGGCTTTTGAAATCATACTTATCAGAAGTGTGTGCTTTGAATCAAGGTCAGTGCTTAAAGGCATAGTTCACCCAAAAATGAAAATTCGGGTATCATTTACTAATGGTCAAAGTCAAGGTTTAAAAATGAGTGGGATCTAATGATAAATGTTTAGTTTTAGTATAGCTAACTATTCAGCCTAATGAAACTGCATAGCCTTTTGATATGCTTGAATATTGACAGTCTGTTTAATTTATTTTTATTCTCTTCATCTTTGTTAATGTATTTGTTTATATCCATGTAATGTTTTAATCTTTGTAAATTGTTTTGCACGGGGGTTTTAACAGCATTTGACATTGATATTTCGTACAGGTACTGTAATATCTCAATGATCATTGCTTTTCTCTTTTAATAAACCGTCCATATACTTTTTTTGTTTGAGGCCTGTCAATTAAAGTCTGTGAAGTGTTGCCAGATTTTGCTATGAAAAACAAACGAACAAAATATCACAAAAAAAAAAAGCTCATAACTTGTATTTT